TATGATGAAATAAGCCTGGGAAATGCTGGATTAAACAGGGCTTAACTACCTTCTGTTCTACAGAATTTCTCAGGGCCTTTAATATTTGAATGTGCATTGTAATGCTCCAAGACAAGGGTATGGCGTATCCAAAGGCATTTGGGGAACACTTTCTTCAAGGAACACCTATTAATAGGGAAATTTGGGAAGTGCTAGATAATATAAAAAGCAAGGAAGAAAGGAATTTTAAATGACTGTTGGGAAGATAACAATGCTGTAACAGCAATAGGAAACAGGACAGATAAGAGAGCAATGAACAATTACTTCATTTTGAACATAAGTAGGTTCCTTTTTTGTCTGGTGGAGATGAGCAGTTATATATGAGACTCAAGTTCAGGAGCGAGGTCAGGCTGGGGATATTGATTATTATTGATTACAAGGCCTCCATCTCAGGACTCCAATCTATTACAATCACTTGTGAGATAGGTCACTAATAGCCTTTTACTAATATTAGTTAAAACACCAAGTTTGCAAAAGAGTCACACTTCCAAAGAAAATAGAGTATCATAAACTTTTCTCTATGTAATGATCTGAAGAAACTTTCTTTTCTCAGCAATTGGTGAGTGAATGGATACTTTGATAATTCTCTGAGGGTGGAGGCTGGACTTCCAGGGCCTCAAATGAGGAGGAAGTAGGTAGAGCTTCCAGGCAAAAAACAAGGAAGAGAGTGTGAGTTCAACTCCTGAAGGAGAGAACGGTAAAGAAGCTATGTGCGTTGGAATGTGAGTGTTTGAATGAATGAAAAGATGCAAGGGCAGGGGGAGGAGGAAGGATGTGGGAGCAAAGACATTTAATGGGGGTTTTCAAGTAAATTGTCGTATGCTGTGTGATATAACTCATCTTCATGCCCCATTAACTGCAATTAAGTTCCCCCAAAACAATATCATCTACGTGGTTTGATTTTTATTTTTTATTTTTAGAAACCAATGTTTTATTTGGCAGAGAACCAAGACAGCATCTGATTGCATTAAAAAAGGGACAGCCAACTTCCAAGTCATCCTTTTGGTGGACTTCGTTGGCTTCCTACCCAACATCTACGTGCCCTCTTCTTTCTTCCTGACAGGACCCTGCTTTGCCTCAGGTAACCACCCAGCAGGACCCAGAAAAAGCTAACCCCATTCACAGCTCAGCAGGAGATTCTATTTGTCTAAGCCGATCATGGTGGTCTCTTTGCCAGAGATCGTTTTTTTTTTTTTAACAATGTGCATGTGATCCAATTCTGGCCACTAAGACTGCATGGAGGAGGCGTCTGGGAAAGGTTTCCCAGCTCCAGAGAAACACATTTGAGAAGAGACAACCATTTTTTTTCCTCTGGACATTTTCATGTCTGAAGATGAGGTCTGGAACAACTTCACCCATTATGCAGCCAGTCTGAGGAGGGCAGAGGCCAAGGCTGGACATAACATACTGGGGGCCTGGACTTCTTGTTACATGAGATTGTAAATGTACTTACTGTTTAAACCGGTTTAATATTTTTGTTTCTGGTAGGGAAAAGTATGTGATCTAATGTACACCAATAATAGCATCATGCACACTAAACTGCATTCTGAAAAGCTTTCCTAAATCACGCCTTTGTTAAATTCTTTTCTGACTGTTATGCCCACCCTCTTCCACATATATAGATATATGGCTGGAAACCCTGGGAAGAGCCAATGTTGCAGCTGAAGTCTGAAAAAAGTCTACTGCAAAATTCCTTCTTGCTCGGAGGAGGTCAGCGTTTTTGTTCTATCCAGGCCCATATTATGAAGAGCAATCTGCTTTACTGGAAATCCACTAATTTAAGTGTAAATCTCACCCCAAAACACCTTCACAGAAACAACCAGAATAATGCTTAACCAAATATCTGGGCACAGTGGCCCAGTCAAGGTGACATATAAAATTAACCATCACAATTATTGTTTTATTTCCCAACTAATTTCTTTGGACCTCATTATACTCTGAGCCTATCCAAGGCATTGTATCATATGTGTGAATACTTTCTCTTGTGTATGTCATGGTAAATAAAACAATGAAATCACAATTCTACCTAAAGGTGATCATTGAACCCATGACACTGTATATAGAGAACAGGGTAAAGGCCAACCCTGTGAAACACCTGGACATTAGCAGTAGGAGAAGGAAGACAACAAGCCAGCTATGGAGCAGCTGAGGAAGGCAGGCAGTGCATGTGTGGCTCATAGAAGGAGGCTTGGGTCAACATTGCCAATAGTGTGAGAAACTGAGGATGTGGGAGTTCAAAAGGAAATTTTAGGAGTAGGTCACCATGAAGCCTTTAGCCAACTCCCCATTTCTATTTTCTACACCACAAAGCCTGGGATCTGATTCCTATTCAAACTCAACCAGATTTTCTCTGTCCCTTAAATTAGAATACAGCCTCTATCTTTACCATGCTAATCTCAGTCACCAAGAAGTTGCCAGTTTTGCCACTTTTCTACTACTACTTCCCTTCCACCACACAATCTACTATTTCATATTTGTTCCACTTCTTCTTAGGTAAAGGGTTATAATGCCTCCACAAATGAGTGAAGTATTCCAGGTGAGAAATGCAACAAAATAATGAACTTAACCCCATCTAAAGAGGACCTCCCGTAATACCCCTGATGATTGCTGCTGTATCAAAATGAGGCCTAGTTTAGCCAGATATGACAATTTGTCAAGCACACAGAAATATACATTTTTAAGTAAAATGCTCTAATTTAGAAAATTTGATTTGATTTTTTTTCAATTAATGAAAAAAGGACACACTGCGCAGACTAAATAAAACTTATCTGTGGGTCAGATTTAACTAAAGGATCACCATTGTGTTGTAGCTGCTTAGGATCTGCCCAACCAATCTCCCATTCTCCTTGCAGCAGTCTGCATTCTGTCAGAGTGGTCTCACACCTACAGTTCTGACATAACAATGCATAAAGGCCAAAAGAAAAACACTAAACAAATGTGAATATATATAGGGGAGAGAGAGAGAGAGAGAGAGAGAGAGAGAGAGAGAGAGAGAGAGAGAGAGAGAGAGGAGCTAACTTTATAAACACAGAAAAATAGTGCTGTTTTGGTATCTCAGGTGGAACCCTATTAAGTATATGTGTGGACCCATCAGGTGGCAGTATCTCACTTCCTAAAGACATTCTGCAGTGACCAAATCCAAGTTCCAGTTTTTCTTGTTTGAATGGTCTTTGATACTGGTGAGATGAACCATTGAAGCAGTTATCTAAAGAAATACAAATCAATACAAAATACTTACACCTAAAAGATCTAGGTTTCACAGTAATGTGGTAGTGTTCACTGAGTTGAAACATGCACTCATTCACTCACGGATGGCAACTTGAAATGAGGCAAACCCTGCTGAAATCTTCATTTCAACGTACCATTTTACTTGACTAGTTTAAATACAATTTCTCTTACTGCATTCTCCTTCTAACCAAACCAGAACTGATTTCTAAGTCGACCCCCTCATGGCAGACCCAGGTCATTTATGCAAAATGTGATGTTAGTTATTGTGACAATATAGAATTCCTGTGAATGAAGTGAATTTTATTTTATTTTCCAGGTACCAGGCATTCTTCAAAGGTAATGATGTCCATTCAGACTTTTCCTTACAAATATAAGTAGCTTGACATCCAGATTTACATACTTCAAACATCTGTCTACTCTAGATACATTAAAGAGTGTTAGGAGTGATTAAACTTGAATTGGTAGTCTGTGGAAGGGAAGTTAATGAGTTTTAGGAATGATTAATCTTCAATTTGTAGTCTGTGGAAGGGAAGGTAACCCTAGGTAGGTATCCACTAAAATAGGTAATATATAAAGAATTTACATTGTATATATTTATATATATATATATATAATTAACATTATATACATATACATGTATATGAGTATAATATACATATTTATGTATATAGAATATATATTTTTGTGTATTTATAGACACAGTTTAAAGTAGCAAGAAATCACATTGGGTTGTCGGAAAAATCATGATGTATTTTTTCTGTTTTTCGTTGCAAAAATGTGTCATGACTTTTCCTACAACTGAATAGTAAAACTGCTGGTGAATGCTTACCTGGTATATCCACATTTTCTTTATTAATTATCATTTCTCCACTTACAAGGTTTATAGTTTTTCTTATAATTCGCCAGTCAAGAGTTGGAAGCAGTATAAATTAGCATTTATCATGAAATGCTATTTCATGAATTTATTTTTTAAAGAAACATAATGAGAGTAAATTTAGCCTAGGTTGGCCAAATAATTAAACTCATTCTCAGAAGAAATAAGAGTTCAAATGCACCTCATGATCAGCTAGAATTTATTTATGTAACCCGGGGCAACCTACTTAAACCTCTATGGGTCTCTGCTCACCTGTAAAATCAGAGGGTGAGTCAAAATAACTGCTAGGATTTCTTCTAAATCTAATGATTTAGAAGATTGGATTTTTCCACCAAATCCCTAAAGTGTCACCAAGATTGTCTGCGTCTCTGCTATCCCATACACTCAAACAGTGTTATTTTCAATAAGGAAAAACACTATGCTGAATAGATAATCCACAGTGCAGCTAGCCACCATAGATAAATCAAAGTCTATAAATAGACACTCCCCCAACATGCACACGCATGCACGCACACGTGGACATAAACATGCAACATTATTATAGTGCCAGTGTTACCCAAACTTCCATCATTAGTTTCATGTTAAAAATGAATGTCACCTTTACTTTTATTCACTTAAGAGTGGAATTTAAGTTAGTTCCTTTTTTAAAATTAGCCATACCATAAGCAATCACAAGCTTGATTGTGATAGCTTTATGCATTTTTTCCAATAGAAATTCAAATAAATACCATCCATAAATAAAATAAAATAAATTCCACCAAGTACTATCTACAATTGTGTTGTATACCCTCAGTGGTGCACATGCTGAACTTTGGAAAATACTAGATTAGTTTATGAAAAGAAGGATATACACACTGGTCTAGAATATGAAAAATTTGTTTTTAAAGAAACCTACTTTAGTAATATTTCCATTGCATTTATTAGGATAGAAAATCATCAACTGTTAAATCCCTTATTCTTTTATTAGTTAGAGAATCTGACTTCATACATTATTTTAAAAATGGGACAAGAGGACCACCATTTAATGGGTAGAGTTTTTGTTTTACATAGGAATTAGCATAAATCCCACTCTCGTCATGCCAAGTGTTGATGCCAAATCTTTTGGAGCCATTTAGATCTGTGAACTGAGAACGGCATTTTCTGTGGATTATTGAATAATCATCTTGACAAGGATAACCCTATTGGGGGCGAGAAAGAGAAATGATATTGAATGAGTGAAATATGTAAAAAGGAGTGATTTCTAAAAGTTGATCTTCAATGTGTTAATCTTATGATCAAATGTTAAGTTTAAAACAATTAATTAATTTAACCTCTCAAATTACAAATGCCTCAATGAAAAAAAATGGCTATTACATTTATAAGTACTTATAATTCTGAAAGAAGAAAGTAGTTCATGGTCGTTTTATTTATAAAAGTAAAAAATATTATTATACATTTAAAATTGTTCTAAACCATAAATATACAGCATAAAGAACAATTTAAATTTTATGATCATCTACATAAGACCCAAACAATGACAATTTCTCTGCCATTCAACATTTTAAAAAATTAATATGTTATAATCATTCCAAAGAATAATATCTTGGGTTATTATATAATAATTGCTACCAAGTCACACTTTCCAGTAAATGTCATTTTCAAAGTTTCATTCCTATGAGAAATTTACCTCAGCATTACCCAATATAACATTTAAGGTATTTATCTTTAGAGCATACCATAAAAGCTTCTACTGTAATAAAACAAGACACTATTATTGACCATTTCCCAAGGAAAATATTGATTCTTTCAGATTACATTAAGGGTAATGGTGATAAGGAACATAAAGCCCTTGAACTGATTATCTAATATCTGCCTTAAATTGGTACTAATTTTAAAGCAATACGACAATATTGAAATTAAATCACCAAAAGCTATAAAGCAATGAAAGAACACCAAAATATAGTTCTAATATTAGATTAGTTTTATTGAAAATAATTGAAAAGTTTAACCATATGTTCAACCATAAGAATCATTACAGTGTCTATTTATTTACTAAGTGCCTATTATGAGTTGGGCACGGTTGTTGAGTGTTTATGTCTTTTAATACATAACAGGGCTCTGAAGTAAGAATTACTACCCCTACTTTACATAAAAGAAAAGATGATTTGCTTAAAATCACAGGAGGGGAGAATTTAAAGACTACCAATATTAAGTGACTCAGCCAGAACTTCAAACTAACCAACTGACTATAAGACCCATTATCCCTCTAGGACTCACATGAAATTCTTAATAATTAAGAGATGAAAAGAAATATAAACAATAAAATCCTAAAGTTACATAATGTCCATGTCACTTTCTATATATGTTTGGACTTTTGCTTTTTGTCATTGGTTGGTCGGTTTGGGGTCAAATAGACGCTCGTTAACTGAGATCTGCGCATCAATGGCCCAAGTGCCTTCTCAGAAGGAGGCAGGATCTGTTCATTCCTACCCCAGCTGCAGTCAAACTGAAGAGAGCTTCCAGTGCAAGGTCTGGATGTTTGTTTAGCATCTCCTTGGCAGAGAGGACAGTTCATTTTGATGAGGTAAGTGACAAGATTAAATGTGATGTTTTAGGAAGAGGATCCTGGCAGTAGGAGGCACTAAAGACTGAAAGTGGAGAGGACTGGATTCAGGAACTATGATTAGAATCGGATCTGAACAACTCACATGTCATCACTTAATGGATGGATAAACAAAATGTGGTCTATCCACACAATGAAATATTATTGAGCAATAAAAGTAATAAAATACTGATCAGTGCTATAGCCTAGATGAACCTTGAAAACATTATGCTAAGTGAAAGAAGCGAAACCAAAACACTACACATTGTATAATTCCTTATATGAAATGTCTAAAACAGGCGAGTCCACGGAGACAGAAAGTAGCTTTTTAGAAGATGGGCGCAGGGAGAGGAATGAGGAGTGAGTATCAACCGGTGTGATGGCGAATTTTTTGTGTCAGCTTGACTGGATCATGGGCACCCAGATATACACACACATGCCTTACAATCCAACTCACAGTCTTGAGGACTTTAGAATATCAGTAACCAAACCTGGAAGAAGCAGACCACACAGAGAGTTTTCCAAATGTGTAGAAAAAACTTCCTTTGCCAATAAGGCATAAACAAGAGTTGACATGAAAAGTAGGGAGCTAAGGAAGAGTGCCTGGTGAGTTGTAGGAAGAAGAAGGGAAAAGAAAGGCAGGATAGCAGAAACAGCCAATGCATTTCCTAATTTACCCATCCTGGAGTTTAATCAAGCAGAGTCCCTTTGACCTGGGCAGAGAGGCACATTAGATAAATGAGGAAAATGGCAGAAAGGCATGGTGGGGGGAGGGGTCTTCTGGTCCCCCCTTCCCCATGAGAATGCTTGAAACAGACCACCTCTCAGGCTGCCCTTTCATTGGCCTGGGGCACATACCGAGGCTGGTAGAGCAGTATGGTCAGGCAGAGGGAGGCCCTGAGAGTCACCTGAGCCCCTTTTGGTACCTTGTGGCATAAACAAGATCCTGAAGAGCTGCAAGTCTGCAGAGGAGCTTCCGCTCTCAGCTGCAGAGCTGAGCACTGGATCTGGGACTGAATGGGAGTCACAGAAGGTTTCTGTCGGGTCAACAATATCTATGATAGTGGAAACGAGGCTGAGCCATCCCAAATATGCTATGAGGGCTCCAACCAAGCTCAGAGAGAGAAATAGAAAAAGGCTGACAGATAACAATGTCCACAGACCAGAGCCACTAATGCCAGCAAGGAAAAGAGCAACCAGCTGGACTAGGAATATCATCCTGGAGACTAGAACAGGCAGAAAATCACACACACACACACACACACACACACACCCCTATTCTTCCCTCTGGCATCAAGATGCTAAGTCGTATCCCTCTCTCCACATACCTGGATGCCATCTTAGGGAGAGTTGCAGTTACTATTGCTGTGTGTTACTATTACCAATCCATAGCAGTGTAAAACAGTAGTCATTTCCAGATTCTTTGAGTCAGGAATTTGGAAAGGGTACGTCAAAAACAGCATCTCTTTGCTCCACAATGTCCAGAGCCTCAGCTAGGAAGACTGGAAAGCTGGGGGTGCCTTGAGGGCTGGGGCTGATTGGTAGCTGATGTTGGCTGGCTGTGAGACCAAGATAGGGCTGTTGACTGGAACAACTGCACAGGTTCTCTCCACATGCCTGCTGGGGCTTCCGCATGGCATGGTAACTGGGTTCTGAGAATAAGGATGGCATAAAGAGAACCACGAGAAAGCCGTATTGCTTTTTGTCACCAAACCTCAGAAGTCACATAGCATCCCTTCCACCATAGCCACAGTTCGCCCAGATTCTAGCAGAGGTAACACAGATTCCGCCTCTCTGTCAAAAGCACACTGTAAGAGTATGTGGGGTGGCAGTACGTGTTGCAGTCATTTGGGGACAATAGCAATCTGCCAGGGGAGAAAAGCAGGGTGTGTTGGGGTTCCTCAGGCCACTACTAGGTTCAATGACTTGCTAGGAGGACTCACAAGACTCAACATACAGAACTCATGGTTATGATTTATTAGAGCAAATGTATACAGAGCAAAATCAGCAAAGGGAGAAAAAGGCACATGGGCTGAAGTTCGGAGGGAACCAGGTGCAAACTTCCCAGAGTCGTCTCCCAGGGAGTCACACAGGCTGCACATAGTTCCCCCAGCAATGAGTTGTGAAATGCTCTCTACTGGGGAAGCTCATCAGAAACTTAGTTATCAAGGTTTTTCAGGGGAGCTGGTTACACAGGCACCCACTGTCTTAAATATACCCAAATTCCAGACTCCCAGGTGTTCAACATAAACCATACTGTTTGCACAGTTTAGGCACAATAAACCATTCTTACTAGGACATCTTATCCCAAAAGCCAAGTTCCCAGATGCCTACCAAGGACCAAGCTTGCAAGCAGGCTTTTCAACAGATGACAGTCTCAATTCTGCTATATTAGCTCTATCCTGCAAACGGGATGGGGAAGGATCTCTGAGAAAGTGAGTTTTTTCAAGGGAGATTAAACACTTCCTACAGAACTATTAATATTTAAATCATGAAATCAGGCTAAGCTTTAAATGGATTGAAAAGTTAGTGTTTTCCCACTGGTGGTGGGCTCCACAAGAAGGCCAGTTATCAGACACATTTCCTCTGCCTTTGTGAGTTGTAGACTGTTGCTATATTTTCAACACCCTAACATAATAATTAAATGTTTGTTCAACATCAGTTTAGTGGAGGTGGGAAGAAGTGTTTAGAAATTGCGTATAGAAAAAGATTTTTGAATTACCACAAGTTGCTGTTGTGTGGTCCATTATCGTGGTATTATTACACGGAGCCTGAGTCCTGACAAAGTTCACTTAAGATGGGACAATCATTGCTAACATTTTCTGAGCCCTTCAGGTAGATGAGGGTAAGTGAAAGAATGTGTCTGAGATGTGGAATGGCTGGGCCTCAGCACTCCATGGCTGATACGGAGCCACACTGGAGAGGCATTTCACAGGAAGAACTTAGAGGACTACTGGCTAACTGGGATAAAGAACCAAAGATGGCCCACAGCTTCAAGCCTGGATGGCTAGGGGAGGTCTCACACCATTAAAAAGAATAAAAAAGACACAGAGATGGGGGAGAACTTGTTTTAGGAGGAAGTGATGAGTCACATTTTAGACATTTTTAATTAGAGATAACCTCAGTAGGAAATGTTTATTTAGAAGGTATGGGACAGATGGCCTGGAGGGAGGTCAATGCGCTAAGCACAGCAGTGACCATTGGCTGGGAAAACTAGATATAAAGAACACTACTGGAGTCATGAATTGTATTTGGATATGGACTGAGGATTACATAATTACATTGTTTCAGTTTTCCTGAGGTTGAAAACTACCATGGCTATAAATGAGTCCTTGTTCTTAGGAAATACACATTGAACTATTTAGAGGTAAAGGGGAACAGTTTAGAGGTAAATGGTAAACAATTGGTGACTCTGGGTAAAGGTTATGTAGGAGCTCTTTGTGCTAGTCTTGCAACTTTCCTGTCAGTTTGAAATTAGATAAAAATATGTCCCCCCAAAAAAGTGATGGTTGGGGAGCAATGGGAGTGGATGAATTCTCTGAGATTGTGAATAATGAGAGAAGCAGGGTTCTGAGGCCGAAATCCTGGGGACACCTA